TACCTCGTTTTGGTCATCTTCTTTTTCTTTTTCTCGTTATCTCATCCAATTTGCTTTCTATTTTCACTCTCTTCACCTTTTTCTCTTTTCCTACTGCTTTTACCCCTGATTTCTCCCCATCTTTCTCTATTTCTCTTACGTTTATCCCTCTTTTTTTATTCACTTCCCTTTGTCTTTACTATTTTTTCTTTCGATTTCCTTTTCTTCTTTCTTTCGAATTTCTTCTTTCTTTTTTCTTTCCACTTTTTGAACCTTTTTGATAATTTCTTCTTTTTTTTAATTTCTTTCTTTTTTCTTTCAATTTTTTTTTCTTTCTTTCTTTCTTCTTTCAATTTTTGCCTTTTCGACAGTTTTTCTTTTTTTTTCTTTAATTCTATTTTCCTTTTTTTTTCTTTCAACTTGTTTTCGACAATGTTCTTTCTTCATATATTTCTTTCAGTTTTTCTTCTTTCTTTCGATTTCCCTTTCTTACTTTCAATTTTCTTTTCATTTTCTCTTTCTTTTTCATTTTCATGATCTTCCTTTCTTTCATTCATTCTTCGCGATTTTTCTTTAATTTTTTTTCTTTTCTTTTTGACAATTTTAACTTATTTGTTTCCATTTTTTTACTTTATTTCAATTTTCCTTTTTCTTTCTTTTTGATATTTTCACTTGTATCAATTTTTCCCCACTTTTTTTTCGAATTTAAAAAAAAAATTTTTTTCATTTTTGCTTCTATTTTGTCTTCTTTCTTTCTTTCTTTCTTTCTTTCTTTCTTTCTTCTAAAAGTCAATATTCTTTTTTCTTTCTTTCATTTTTCACAATACTATGTTTTCTTTCTTCTACTCTTTTTCTTTGTTTGTTTGTTTGTTTGTTTGTTTCTTTCTTTCTTTCTTTCTTTCTTCTGAAAGTTAATATTCTTTTTTATTTCTTTTATTTTTCACAATATTATGTTTTCTTTCTTCCACTCTTTTTCTTTCTTTCTTTCTTTCTTTCTTTCTTTCTTTCTTTCTTTCTTTCTTTCTTTCTTTCTTCCGAAAGTTAATATTCTTTTTTCTTTCATTCTTTCTTTTTTTTCTTTCATTTTGTTAATTTTTGCTTGCATTTTCCCTTCTTTTTCTTTCCTACTCTCTTTCTCTTTGTTCTTCTACCTTTCTTGCAATGCTCCTTCTTTCCTTGTTTCTTTTTGTCTTTTTCTTTTTTTGCAACCAATTTCCTCTTTGTACATATTCAATTATTTTTTTTCTCCGTTTTTAACAACTCACTCTCGCTCATATTTCTCACCTCCCCCTTAGTCTGTCTTTCTCTCTCTCACTCTCTCACACACACACAAAGACTCTCAGTCACTCTCTCTTTAGTTTTCTCCGGTTCTTTTCATAAGTGTCTCTCCCCTTCACACTCCCTTCTTTTCTCCTTCCCGTTTCTTTTTCTCCTCTTCGTGAATTCTCCTCTCGACCTCTTCAACACATCAATGCCGCACAGTATGTCTGTCTGGCCTCGATCGATTATTTAACTACAAAGATCGGGAGTGCGACAGATACAGAAAAAATGAACTGATCGTTCATCTATGCAGACATTTGCGTTCCACATCGCTTCCCTCAACGCCCAACAACAGACCATCTTCGCAGAGGCTGGAAGAGCGGACCTGACGGCCAACTCACTCTTAACTCCATCCCGTCTTCTAACGGGCTGTAATTGATTCCAATAACCAAGCATGTGCCAGCCAAACTAACAGTACCGTTTCTACTTGGCGGTTCGTTCTCAAAGATAGCTTCAAAATAGACAAAATGGCGAATGAAATGTGAGAAAGAGACAAACGTTATTAGACTGGTAATTATTAATTATTTAACATTAATTATAGACATAATTAACCCGTTTAATGATGTCAAAGATGAGATTGATAATTGTTCTTTCATTTCTTAGACTTGTCTTTCTTTCCTTTTTTTCCCTTATTTTCGTATTTCCTTTAATCTTTCTTTTCTCTTGTCTAATCTTTTGATGGATAATAAATTTGGCAATTATACATTTTCTTTCTTTCTTTCTTTCTTTCTTTCTTTCTTTCTTTCTTTCTTTCTTCTTTGTTTCTAATTCCTTCCTTTCTTTCGTTCGTCTATTTTCCTATTTTCTTACTTTTTTCCTTTTTCCTCTTTTCCTATTTTCTTTCATTCTTTCTTTACTCATCCTCTGTTTCTATTTGGTTTCTTTCTTTTTTCTTCCCTTTTTCCTGTATTCCTCCTCTATTCCTTCCTTCTTTCTTTCTTTCTTTCTTTCTTTCTTTCTTTCTTTCTTTCTCAGAGACTTTTATTTTTTATTTCTTCCGGTCTCTCTTTCTTTTTTCTTCCCTTTTTCCTGTATTCTTCTTCTATTCCTATTTTCTTTCTTTCTTTCTTTCTTTCTTTCTTTCTTTCTTTCTTTCTACTCCAATTTTCTTTCTTTTTTCTTTACTCCTACTCCAATTTTCTTTCTTTTTTCTTTACTTCTCCCCCCTCCCTAATTGATTTCTTTCTTTCTTTCTTTCTTTCTTTCTTTCTTTTTTCTTTCTTTCTTTCTTTCTTTCTTTACTCCTACTCCAATTTTCTTTCTTTTTTCTTTACTTCTCCTCTCTCCCTATTTGATTTCTTTCTTTCTTTCTTTCTTTCTTTCTTTCTTTCTTTCTTTCTTTCTTTCTTTCTTTTCAAGTTTCCTTTTTTGTATATATAATCCTTTTTTACACCTTCCTGTCTCACGCAATCATTGTTCTTTCTTTTTTCTTTTTTTCTTTTTCTTTCTTTCTTTCTTTCTTTCTTTCTTTCTTTCTTTCTTTCGTTCGTTCTTTCTTTCTCAGAGACTTTTATTTCTTCCGGTCTCTCTTTCTTTTTTCTTCCTCTCTTTCAAATTGTCTTTTTTATTCTTTTTTTCTTTCTTTCTTTCTTTCTTTCTTTCTTTCTTTCTTTCTTTCTTTCTGTTCCTCTTCGTATTTTCATGATGTCGGTGTAGGCTCTGCTGATGACATAGGTATTCATAGCTGGGATAAAAATGATCTTGAACAGAAGATCAACATATTCTACCAAGCGTTCCAAGAATTAAACCCTTCCAAAACAGAAACTATGATCTGGAATTGAAATGAAAGCAGTGATGGCACCTACCCAGAATCCATCATAAAAATTTAGCACGAGGAAGTAGTAAATACCAAACATTTCAAATATCTACGGGCATGGATCAGCTATAATATAATTTAGTATAGAAGAAAAGGAAATTGAACATAGAATAAGCTAGAGTTAGTTTCTCCGAGCTCTGCAAATTGCGACAAAGTAGTAAACGTAAAAGTTTGAGTCATGTTCTTAAATAATAATCGGGACTTTCATATGGAAACCATAGATGGCGCCAAACCTGTTCAGAAATATCTGTCAGTTGTATAACAAACAAAGAATTGTACCAAATAATAGAAACCAAGTCACTTGAGGACTATCACCAGCGTCAACAGCAAAAATGGTTAGCACATGTAAGATGAAGAGAAAATAATGACATGATCAAGATGTTGACGTTCCACACTACTTTGAACAAAAGGTTAGGAAGGAAACTCTCATCAGTACTCGAAAGAACGATAGCAGCGACCAGTCTTGAGAAACTTATTTTCGTGAAAAATAGTTTTCATAGAAAGATTTTATAAATTTCAATCGACAAAAACACTGGCTGCTCGCTCAATGATTACAAGGAAACATTCGGCTGATATTAATGGTACCGTTATCATTCCATTTCTTATAATTTCTTGCTTTTTTGTTCCTCTGCTCATTCTCTCTTTCTATTTTTCTTACCCCTTTCATTTCTTATTCTTTCTTTCTTTCTTTTTCAGGGTCTTTTTTTATTTTTTTTATTTCTTCCGGTCTCTCTTTCTTTTTTCTTTCTCTCTTTCAAATTGTGTTTTTCTTTCTTTCCACTCCTGTCCCTATTTTCAGGCTGTTAGTGTAGGCTCTTAACTTTCAACCGACATTAACAGTGGCTGCTCGCTCAATGATTGCCGAATGTTTCCTTATAAGGAAACATTCGGCTGATATTAATGGTACCGTTACCATTCCATTTCTTATAATTCTTTCTTTCTTTCTTTACTCCTTCTCGTTTCCTATTTTCTTTCTTTCTTTCTTCTTTTTTCCTATTTTCTTTCTTTATTTCTTCTTTTTTCCTATTTTCTTTCTTTCTTTCTTTCTTTCTTTCTTTCTTTTCTTTCTCATCTAAAGTCTTTCTTCTTTTCCTTCTTTCTTTCCTACTTTCTCCTCATCTACGTTCTTTCTTTATTCTTTATTTATTTATTTCCATTCATCTTCATTTCTTTCTTTCTTTCTTTCTTTCTTTCTTTCTTTTTCTTCTCTGTTCCTATTCTTTCTTTCATTTCTTTCTTTCTTTCTTTCTTCTCTTTTCCTATTTTCTTTCTTTCTTTCTTTCTTTCTTTCTTTTTCTTCTCTGTTCCTATTCTTTCTTTCATTTCTTTCTTTCTTTCTTTCTTTCTTTCTTTCTTTCTTTCTTTCTTTCTTTCTTCTCTTTTCCTATTTTCTTTCTTTCTTTCTTTCTTTCTTTCTTTTTCTTCTCTGTTCCTATTCTTTCTTTCATTTCTTTCTTTCTTTCTTTCTTTCTTTCTTTCTTTCTTCTCTTTTCCTATTTTCTTTCTTTCTTTCTTTCTTTCTTTTTCTTCTCTGTTCCTATTCTTTCTTTCATTTCTTTCTTTCATTTCTTTCTTTCTTTCTTTCTTTCTTTCTTCTCTTTTCCTATTTTCTTTCTTTCTTTCTTTCTTTCTTTCTTCTTTCTTTCTTCTCATCTAAAGTCTTTCTTCTTTTCCTTCTTTCTTTCCTACTTTCTCCTCATCTACGTTCTTTCTTTATTCTTTCTTTATTTATTTCCATTATTCTTTCTTTCTTTCTTTCTTTCTTTCTTTCTTTCTTTCTTTCTTTCTCTTCTCTGTTCCTATTCTTTCTTTCATTTCTATCATTTCTTTCTTTCTTTCTTTCTTTCTTTCTTTCTTTCTTTCTTTCTTTCTTTCTTTCTCCTCTGTTCCTATTTTGCCATTATTTTTCTCTTTTTTATTCTCTTCGTTCCTCATTCATTTTCTTCTCCCTTCTTCTATATAAATAAATGCAGTGTGTCAGTGTGTCAGACTTTTCAACTTTACTCCCAGAGGCCGTAGCCGAACATATCATACCTTTTTGGAATCAGACCGACTCCCCGAGAAAATTAAAAAAAAAAAAAAATCCTAGGACGGATCCGGACGGATCCTGAAATTTTGGATTCCCAACTTTTCCTTACTGCGATTGCTTCGACGATAATTTACGTGATTTTTGCGACAAATTTTTATAACTTGAAAATAAATTTCGGAATAATCGAAATTAATTGCAAAATTCATCGAAAGTCACCCATGAAATAAAAATAATTGTTTGTATGGAAAATAAGCACCTACGTGCATCAAATTGTTTTTAAATGAAGTGTCAGCAGAAGAATTATCGCTGAACTTTTAAAAGGTGAGCTTAAATATTAATGCAATACTTAAATACAGCGATCAATTTCGAGTTCTGTAGTTTATTATTGCCTATCGCATATGGTCAGAGTATGCCTTGCAAAAAGAAATCTCTACCAACAGAAGACCAGATTGAAATCAAAGGAACCAAGGCTGCAGTGATGAAAAGAAAATCCTGTGAAAATGAAATTCGGATCAAATAGCAGCCAGGAGAGCTTCAAATGCTGAGAATATCCAAAAATTTAAGGACTTTCAAGCTAAAGGCCCAATTAAGAGCCCTCCACATGAGCTAGCTTAATTGGGGAGCTTGTAAGCAAGTTACTTTACAAATTTCAACCGACATTAACACTGGCTGCTTGTTTTCGGATGATAATATTACCAATTCATTACTTTTTCCTTTCCTTTTTGTTCCTCCGCTCCTTTCTTTCTTTCATTTCTTATTCTTTCTTTCTTTCTTTCTTTCTTTCTTTCTTTTTCCTTTGCTATTCTGTCCCCTCTCATCTTATTTTCACTACGTTCGTTTGTTCTTTTTCTCCACTTTTTGCCAACATTTTTTTCTTTTTTTAATTCTCTTTATTCCTCCTTTCATTTTCCTTTTCCTTCTTTGATCTTTCTTTCCTCTTCCTTCTTCTTTCCTCCCTCTCCGTCTTCATTCTTGTCTTTCTTTTCTGCATTCATTTCTTTTTCTCGAGACATTCGTCGTCGTACTTAGAGTGAAATCAATTAGGCCAATGTTCTCATTCGGAGATTTTGTAACCAACGCACAACAGTAAAAAAAGAAAAAATTTGCTAAGATTTAATTCTGACAAATGTTGATTTCCCGATAAAAACAATGGACTGCGTGGGGGGCGGGGAATTATTTTGTCTCTACTTCTTAATTAATTAAAATATAAATAATTTCGATTTTCGTTTTACCGGGAAAATCTCAACGTTCAGAATAAACATCTCACTCGTTCGCCATATTTTAATTCGTCGAAGGACAGAGAAACCAATTTCCCAAAATGCAACATTTCTTATGATATCATCATCATCATCATCATCATCATCCTCTTTGAATTTGTTACTTGAAGTCTTAGAGTGTTATCGTCTTAGCTATGCGATATTGTTTAAACAGAGCTGTGAGAAAAGACATTCCATATTTGTTGAAAATTTGGCTTTGGACTTTATTGTTGTTAAACAACATCGTCAGAATTCGTCATCAACGAGTTTCTTCTAGCAGACAAACGTAGAAACGATAAATGAAAATAAGGAAGCAGTAGAATAAACGCACCAAATACAAAACAACAACAAAAAAAAAAACAACAACAAAAAACAAAAAAAAAACAACAACAAAAAACAATCAAATGAAAGCAACAAGTTACCCTAAAATCTGATTTCATAAAATGCGTAATATGAAAAATATATTTTGCTGAGTCACTTCAGGATACCTTCGATTTCTTCTGTTTTCTGTACTGCAGTATAAAGAAAGAATTAAAGGTATTCACTCTAAGAAAGAAAGAAAAGAAATCAGTGCTGCTGCTGTTGCACGTTTTCGTTCCGTTTGGTCGATCTGTCGCTTCCTGTCGTAAAGCTACCGAAAACTTAGTATTCTTAGTGTTATTACTTATTCGAGCTTTTGATTTTCACAGCCATCGTATGTCAACATCAGCAAGCTGTGAGATAGCCAGATTCAGGGGAGGGGTTTCGCCCAGTGGTCGTTGTGATTCTGAGGATATTTCAGGTGTTAAATTCTCGCAGACGTGGTTACTTATTTTCAGAAGGAAAACTATTCTAGTAGTAATTCATAGTAAGTGGAGAGACCTCAGAGAAGTAACAGTAGAGGAAAGAAGCAGTAAGGATGAAAAGTGAACTTCGTTTATCTTGTCATCTTTCTCTCTGTGTTTCTCTGGGTATTGGCTGGTTCATATATGAAAATTTGAGCACTTTTGGTTTTGGCTTATTGCATGTTTTCGATATTCATGACCTTTGTCTAAAAAGCAGATGACCTCTCACGTAATAAGTTCATTCTAAAGCCGCTAAAATTGGAGTTGGTAATATATAAATGTTTGTGGGGTTTTATAGTATTCTAAATAAACATAGCGAGAATTTATTTTTTCTTTTGAAAATTTTAAAAGACTATAAAGACCGTCATACGGCTCTGGAGGGAAATGGGAAGACTGAGGAAGATCTATTCTTACTAAATCTTAATGAATTCTACTTGGTATTATTTTAGGTTCAAATCTTCCTAGAGCCTTCTCCAAAATCAATTTACGACTTTGAATTATTATTTTCAATCTGTTCTTTCTTTCTTTCTTTCTTTCTTTCTTTCTTCCTTGCTTGCTTGCTTGCTTCTCCTCAACGCTTAGTTAGTTTCTTAGATTTTTCAGTTTAATCTAAATTATTTCCCACTTGAAATAGTTACTAGGCATTCTAATACATTAAAACATTTAACCAGGGTTACCAGACTATTATATGCCCCATACAGTACAAATGCTGGACCAAGGTTACCAACCTTTATTAATCCTGATGTAGTTAAACGTTGAAACATAGTTACCACCCTGTTATATTCCTGCTGCAGTAAGGTATTGAATCACAGTTACCACCCTGATATATTCCCCATGCAATAAGACCTTGAGTGAGGATTACCACACTGTTTATTTCCCTTCGGCAGTAAAACGTTAAACTAGAGTTATCAACCTGTTATATTCCTCATGCAATAAGACGCTGAACCAGCATCACCATATTATATCCCTCATGTTGTAAGACATTGAATTAGGATTACAACCATGTTATATTGCTGATGTTGAGCTACTGTTACCACCCGGTTATATCCCACTTGCAGTAAAACGTTGAACCAGTGTTACCACTTTGTTATATTGCTCATGCAATAAGACGTTGAGCCAGTGTTACCACCTTATAATATCCCTAATGCTGTAAGACGTTGAATCAGGATTACAAGCCTGTTATATTGCTCATACAATAAGACATTGAGCCAGTGTTACTATCCTGTTATACCCTTCCTGTAGTAATGTTTTGAACCAGTGTTACCAACCTGTTATGTTCATCATGCAATAAGACGTTGAGCCAGTGTTACCGCCCTATAATATCCCTCATGCAGTAAGACTTTGAATCAGGGTTACAAACCTGTTATATTACTCATGCAAAAAACAAAAACAAAAAACGTTGAGCCAAGTTTACCATCGGGTTATATCCCTCCTGTAGTAAAATGTTGAACAAGTGTTACCAAACTGTTGTATTCCTCGTGTAATAAGACGTTGACCGAGGTTTACAAACCCTGTTATATTCCGCATGCAGTAAGACGTTGAACCTGGCTTACAGTCCTCTTATAACCATCCTGTAGTGAAACGTTGAACCAAGGTTACCGCCCTGTTATTTCGCAATGTAAGTGTTATTAACGCAACAGAGTACATAATATTTGTAATGCGTAGATACTACCAGTCAATGTAGAATAGGAAAATATATTTTTGGGCCAGGAAAGTTCGTTTTTAAGAAAATACATAAAATCCCAAATTTTAATTCAGCTGTTGACTTTTTCAGCCCTCGTCTTCTTTTTTATCTATGGTAATCTTTCAGTTTTCTCCTAATATATACCAAAGTGAATTTTGTTCTTGGTGACATCTCAGAACGTCAAAAGACCTAGACGCCCCTAAGGTTGTCCTAAAAGGGAGCGCCGTAGCCACTAATGGCAGAGTAGGGCCTTAAATGATATCTGTGTGTGCATCAACACAAACAAGGAAGTAAAACCAGCTAAATTTAAAAGTATCAAATATCGAAATGAAAGTTGCCTTGAACGGCCACTCTTCTAGATCTTTTTGCATTAATGCGACTGACTCCCATAAAGTACAATGTTAGGATCATAAGTTCTCTTTAAATTCTTCTCTTGACTCATTTGAAGTATCTTTGCCTTACTTTTCACTTAGAACTGTGGCTCCATTGAGTAATATCCATATAATTCTGTTCATGAGTTCTGCTATCATCTCTAAACTGGATCCTCACAAAGCATGTATACTTCATGGTATCCCCGCAGTTGTCCTTACGAATTGTGCTCCTGAACTGGCTCCTGTTCTCTCTAAACTATACAATAAATACCTTGCTGCTTCTGCTTTCCTGTTTGTTGGAAATCCTTTTCTGTAGTTCCCGTCTTTAAGAACTCAAGCAAATCATCTGACCCTACTATTTGGCCTATTAGCCTTCTACCTCGTTTTGGCCAACTACTAGACGCTTTAATTACCTCTGAATTGGTTAAGCATCTTACATCGTAGGGTCTTCTTTCAGATAAGCAATATGGCTTCCGTTTCGCTAGGTCAACTGCTGATGTATTAACGACTATTGTTGAAAGAGCCTATCAAGCTTTAGATGAGATTGGGAAGCTTGGTCTGTGACTTTGGATATCTCAAAGGCCTTTGACAGGGTTTGGCATACTGGTCTTTTTCACAAGTTCAAAGGTTATGTTATTTCTGGACAAATTTTTAAAATGATTCAGTCTTTGTTATCAAAACGCGAAATGAAAGTTGTCTTGAATGGCTACTCTTCTAGATC